TGTTAAACATGAAAAAAATGATGCATCAACACTATCAATTTCCTTTACAATCTTAAACACCTCAATCAGATCACTCCTAACTTCTTTTTTACAAGAGAAAACAATTTGAGATATTTCAGCCTCTCATTGTATGACAACCCCTCCATCCCATGCAAGTAACCCTTCTCTGAACCCTTTCCAACAATTCAATGTCTTTCCTAAGGTAAGGTGCCCAAGACTCAACACAATATTCCAAATGTAGCCTAACCAGTAACTTTTACAATAAAATTATAACCTCTTTAGACTTGTATTCAATATTTTTATTTTCCCTACCACTAGCAACAGCACACTACTTGGATGGCTTTATAAACTGTTATAGTGTATTCTAAAGCTTTATAAGTCTTGCATAAAATAATGATAAAATATGTTGTCAAAGATCATGTAAAATGTTTGATCTATCATATGATGATAAATTTATAGTTGCTGCTAGAATTAGGTAGGTACTAGGCCTGTTAGAAAAAAAGATGTTGATGAATGAAAATAAGAAATTTTGGGTTTGACTATTCTCCGGTTTTTGACTTTGGGACACTCTGGATAATTGAAAAGCAGCATGTATACCGGAGATCGAGTAATTATGCCAGGTAGCTCTTCATATCTTAACTTCTTATGACCTGTAGAGAAGAAAATCCAGATGTACTTTGTATTGTTTTAATACAGGCATCCACGCCATCCCTACATAGGGAGTGCTAGCATACTCTTTGAAGTTATGTTTGTTTCACTTTTCTGTGTGTCTAACTGTATTAGTTTTTTGTGGTATGAATGATTTTGTTATTTCATTGTCCTTGCCGGAAATAAGGTTTTATTTTACTCTCATTTACCAGTCAGAGTAGTAAGACAGACATTAATGAAGTATTTATACCATGTCTGACAGAATGGCTTTCTGTTAATTTGATCTTTTTTCTTACGAATATTTTCACATAAAACCAACCTACATATAAAATAAAAACACCGTTGTTTCATTATACCTATCTTAATGATATTCTAGGTATTACGTTCAAAATATAAAATGTACAGTAATATATAACATTTTAGCACAAAGCAAATTAAATTATGAATATTCTGTTGACAGCCTTTCATAATGTTATTGATCAGTTGGTCCATCAAGCCCATACTTTTACATCCACCCTTGATAAAAAAAATAAAAGTTTAAACCACTTTATTTTTGTTTTCCTTTTAAACTGTCAGTGTCAAGTCATTCCACAATCTCATCACTCTGACAGAAAAATAAAACTGTATTAACTGTAGTTTAGTTTTTTGTTTGTTTCAAAATCTTAAACTTATGGCTTTTATTTCCTTTTTTTTAAAGATACAACATAAAAAATATTAGACCGTTATTCTGTTAATCCCCTGGATAATCTTGTAAACTTTAATAAGATCACATCATACTCTATTTTTCTCAAGATTAAATAAGTTAAAAGATCTTAACTTTTTTCCCTGTAAGACAACCCTTCAATTTGTCAGAATCATCATAGGAGCCATCTTTTAAATCTTTTCCAATAAGATAGATAAGAACAATGATGTACACAATACTCCAAGTGAAATCCAGCCACTGATCTATATAAAGAAATAATTGTATCTTATGATTTGTAATCATTATGTTTGGAAATTCATTTTAAAATTCTGGCACTTTTATATTCATGATTGTTTTGTAAGCATACTAGATCTGTTTGTGTTTGAAAAACTATAGTGGTCAGGATGGGGAAGGAAGCATTTCTTTAAGGACCTGAGCCATGATGCTCGGTTGGTAGAGCGTGAGCCTCAGAGCATTATTTTTAAACAATAGTCGTAGGTCTAAGTGCTTGATCCAAATGATATCAAAAAGCTTTAGTTTACAATATATTTGTATAAATCTTTCAAAATTTAGACTATGATTTTGATAAGTGGCTCTTAGTTTTGTTAATAAAAACTAGTAATCACCGCTAAGGACTTGGCACAGACTTTATTTCTTGGTTCAAAAAAAATAGTGCTAAACTTAAGCTGAACACCAAGTTGGGTGGATTTTTCAAGGTTAGACGTTAGAATACGTTATTTACCATCATGCAGATGTTAATCACCATTATGCAGATGGTCTTATTTTATTGCTATTGCCATTATGCAGATGTTATAGTTTAATGTTTTTTCCAAATGAAATTTCAAGTGTGTTTTTAACTTTTAAGCTGTCATGCAGAAATAATATAAAGTTAAATGTATGGCAGATATCTATGCCCGTTGCCTTTGTTATCTGTTGACATATATATAAATCCGTACATGATTGTGTGAAGGGGGGTGAGATAGATTTTTGGTGATATTTAGAGTAGTGATTTTGGTTTTTGATTTGCCATTTATTTATCAAGTTCTCTCCTTTCTTTTCTTTTTTCCCCCTTAACCAATTTACTTTTTTAAGCTATGCTACAAACTATTTATAGTATTTTCAAAGTGTAGATGAAATTTATGCTTGAATAAATTATATCTTAAAGTGCTGTTTAATTGAAATCAGTTCTGCCAAACTTCTTTCTGTACATAACAAAAGAAAATGTGTAATATACTTATAACCATAGAAATGAGTTTTTTGATATAGTTTCAAAGAAGCTTCAGTAACAGTCACAAACAAGTTTTATTAGAAATAGTGTATCCATATATAATTTTTACCCGTGGTTGATTACAGCTTTTGCAAAATAGCACGTACTGAACAAATACTATTCCAAAAATATTAAGGCTTTAAATGTATTTTTACAAAATCCAGAATTGTTTAAAAAATGCAGTTATCTAATTTCTATGAAAATAATATTTTATCCTGTTTTAAGGTCCTCTTCAGATAGTTCAGTCCACAAGAAAGTCTAGTAAGATAAATGTTACCCAAACTAGCTGTGTAAATTAACTTATGATGTAAATTTTATCAAAGCAAAATCCATGTGCATTTTAGAAATAACATTTGTAGCACATTTAAGGTAATTAAGTTTGTACCTCAATGTTGTATGGACTTAGACCTAGCTTGAGAGCATAATGTTATATGATATGAAACATGATGTAATTAAACTGTCAGGAAAACTATAGTGTTACAATACTGATGTGGCCAACATGTGGAGTTAGGATTCAGTCATTTAAAGTAAGAGATTAGTACATCCTATTGTATGCACTGCTGTGTTACAAGTGCTTATGTGCAACTTGAATGGATGATGATTGAAAAATAGTAATTATGAAATTAAAGAACAGTATAACTTTTGTAAACCTGTGAAAAAATTTCACTTCTGTCAATTTTGTTTTACAAATACATGTCATTCACAATCCCAGTCATTGGACATATGCTGTTCATTTAGAGCTTTGTAATAGTAGAGATAATGTGGCCAACTTTAATCAGCATTTGATATTTTAAAGATAAGTAAATCTTGTGTATATATTACTGTCTTACATGCACTATATGCGAGTTGGAAGGGAGACGATTAAGGAACATAAGATATCAAATAGCTTTAGATGACTGTAAAAAGTTTGATATTTCAAAATTCAGACATTTGTGTTTTTTTATTAAATGGTTTTCATTTTAGTAGATAAATCTGAGTTATTTCATTAAACAAATAATATTATCATTTAAGTTAATATATTTTAGGAAAACCAAATTATAATATAAGTATGCCTGATGTTCTGTATATTTTCTTAAAATAATTACAATTTACAATGCTTTAAGTTCTAAACATCTTAATTCTACCCAATATCTCAAACATACACACACACACATTTTATGGGTTACACTTAAATTCATGAACAATTTTAAGAATACAAGCACACATTTTAATGTTATTTAAAATTAACTATGCAAGTTATTTTTAAACATACAAATCAGAATACTTCCATTACAGACTTATTTTACTTTAATCCATTAAACATACAAATCAGAATACTTCCATTACAGACTTATTTTACTTTAATCCATTAAACATACAAATCAGAATACTTCCATTACAGACTTATTTTACTTTAATCCATTAAAGATTTCTCTACAGACCTTAAAATTTAAGGACTTGGTATAAAATCATTTACTTCGATGGACAAAATGGATTTTAACCACTTTACATAAGAATTTGGTGCGAATTTGCCCAAAAATCACACATCTAATGTTTGTTCTTTTAATGATACGTAGAGAATGACAGACGTCTATATCTGATATGCGTATAAATAATCAAATTCAGATGTTTAATCATTGAAGCACATACATAAATCAGCATAACTACTAAAAACATGAATTTTACCTTACAGGAGTATCAAAGTACCAAATGTGGATTGTTTGGTATTGACACAGATAATGAAATAGTTACCACTTTTGACACTGAAAAACATACAGGAGTAGCACTGGAAGTTGACAAGAAACCTGTTTCAGCAGACAACATTGAAGAGATTATCGATGATGACCCTTTTGCAGGTACTTCAATATTTTGTTTCAGCGTATAAAAATGTACTTAGTGCTATTTGATAATGACGTATTTTTAGTTTTTCATTTACTGAATAAGTTGCACGTATCATTATATGTGTTTTCTCGTGTTATTTGTTGTAATGTTTTAACAACTGTACACAGTGGTTTTCTAATAAAAAATGTTCAAAGCATACATTAAGTCCTAAAGATATATTAGAAGAGTATAGCATCTCAAAGACTTAATAAGTAACTTTCTGATCGTCATTTAGTTTCAAATTTTCACAACTTACAACTGTAAGTATCAGATAAGTTATACTTCAGGAAAGACTTAAGTTTAAAGCATGTTCTGTACATTAGCCATGCTAAGCCTGCTGTTCGTTCGAGACTGTAATGTTTTGTGGTTTATATGTTCGGTAATCTTTATGGCATTTAAAATTATGTTAATTTTAATATAAAGTGTCAAAAAATATTTTATTTCTATTTCTAGGACTTTTTCGTGGTTCTCTGTGTCCTACGAATTGCAGTGATGATTTCAAAATTTCATTTCATGTAAGCAACACTCAATTAACACCCCCACCTCCTCCTCCCAGAAGAACAGCTATTTCTCGACGGTCTCGAAATATTTATGAAAACGTTGGAATTAAAATGGAGAGTGGGGGTAGGAGTAGACCTAACTTGCAGGATCCTTCTGAAGGGGGAAGAGATGATAACCGCAACAGCTTGTCCGTAATGAGCCCTTTTGATGAAAATGCTGAATGGGCTGAAATAGCAGATATTATGGCTTCTTTTGGAAGTGGAATTGCTCGAGAATCAGTATTTTCCAATGAAATGGAAGAACACTTTACTAATGTGCTGACTTTAGGTAGGAAAGGTAATTGATTGGGTAATGATGGATAAGTATAAATACATTACTTCGTACACTTTTCTCGTCTGGGTTCTATTTTTTGTTGTTGTTTTTTTTGTGTTATTGCTCAGAGGTATCATTGGGGGTGGGCTACAGGAATGGTCACTCTAAATGGCACTTTCTGTGAGACATTTCTAATCAATTTAGAATAATGTGTGTATGCAAACTGTGCCTTAGTTTAGGGCCCCCCAGCTGAATTGGGGTCCCACTCAAGGTCAGTCTTCTTTGCCCCTCCTTTCCCTAGGCATTTTATGAAATGATAGTCATTTTTTTGTTTATCTTTGTGTGTTAGGTGTTAAAACTTCATCTATAGTTATGAATATACACTACATTATACTAGTGTATGTTTATCTAATACATCCATGTATTTTTACTTATTCTTCTGGTAAAAGATTCTTCGAAAGAGAACGACCTTTCCAATGTTTCAAGTATTTGTCATCAGTTTTTGTTAATGCAATACAGATATTCATACACAAAGATGTAGTCTTTAACTCTTTTTCAGACGGGTCACGGATGAAAGGCCACGTCATTGCGTTTGTTGACTCGCATTCCAAAATGTTATTGAACTACTATTGCATGAATTTATGTCAATAAGTTTGATATCAAACTGTAGAATTTAATTGAACTTTTAGTATTATACCTTACTTAAATTCTTAATTTAAAAGTAAATATTAAAAAAATACAGATAAACATCGATTTTTGTGTGTCACATGGTATGTTGAATGCAGCACAGGTTCAAATTAGATGTTTGCGATGTCAAAACACTAAGTCTGTAGTTTCGTAGGAATTAGGAACTCAAATTACTGATATTAACAAGCTAGAATATAAAATAAGAGCCTCTTATCTTTTCATTTTGCTAAGATATTGCTCAGTTAATAAATCAAACACAGTGTCTCCCCACCCACCCCCTCTTTCCTATTTTTGGAAATGCTCCCTTATATAA